GCACGTGAACGCCTAGGGCCATCTCAATCCAGCTATCTATAATCTATATGTCAACTTAAGCGCCGGCCGCTGTGGTGTAGTGGTTAGCAGTGCGCACTACCAAACCGTAGGGCCTAGGTTCAAGCCCTGGTCAAAGCAACATCGCAAAAAAAATTTAGAAAAAATGTTTTTTCTTAACAGCGGACGCCCCTCGGCAGGCAATGGCAAACCTGCGAGTGTAAAATACAATCACCGTTTGGAGTCGGCGTAAAACTGTAGCTCCCTCCGCTTTGTGTGACAACATCAAGGCGCACGCCACAAAGTGGAGGTGAAAGAACATACATATGTGTAAACGCCAATCTATTATTATTATTATTAAAAGATTGAAGTAACTGTAAACAGCACCAAGAGCGCTCGTCAAATGTCAAGTTCTACGAAGCAAAGGTCTGATCAAGTGAAATGATATTAGAGTTACGAATTCTATAGACTAGTTTAGTGACCCTCTTTTTTATTGTAATCTGTTTATTTATATCTATTTTTAATTACTTTTAAATAAATTTTTTTACTTTTTTATTTCATCGTTTTATTTATTTTTGTTTTCTATTTTAATTTGTTTCTAATTTTTATTTACCTTTTAATATTTATTTTTCTTAAATTTTTAATTTTTTCACAGTTTTTTTTCTTGAAGTTTTATATATATATTTTTTATTACTTTTGCCTATCTTCACATTTTATCTTTTGTATTTTTTACCTTAGAAATATTCCTTTCATGTTACCAGCGCATACAACGAAAAATAATTCCCAGGATAGCTGTTCTATTGACGTCAACCGCGTCCACAACACAAAACGCACACAGGAAGGACGCTCAAACGCTCAAAACACAGATGATGTTGGCAAAGAGAAGTAAAACAAAAGTTAAAAGCATACATACACACATAAACAAAAACGCCTACAACAACAGCTGTCTGCGCTAGGCAAATACAAATATAAACATTGGTTATAAATTCGACAGCAAACAGACTCTATTTGTTTTGTCAAAGGTACGTATGTACATATGTACATTAGGGTGGTCCAAAAATGCATGTGAAATAGTAAAGTCGCAATTTTTACGCCCTAGGATTGTTCTATATCGAAAAAAGTATACCCTTATGTTTTTATTTTGAAATCAAAAAATGTTTAGAGGTCGCTCAAAGTGCCCAAAGTTTTCCATGTATTTTATATGGGGAAAAACAACTTTTCGTAGAAATGGTTTAGAATAGTTAAAAATCAATATTTTTCTACCAGAAAACTCTGTTTATCTGCAGGAGATTCACAATAATAATACTCAATTCTTTTTTAACAATTTTTTCATGGAAACTATAATTTATAGGTCCGCCAAAAAACCCACAAAAACCCCGAAAAATGCAATGGGCGGACCAATAAAAAATCGTTAGTATTAACAAATGGTTAAATAAACAATTCGGTATTTTTATTGAAAAATCGAAAAAGATTGATTTTCAATAATTCTATGCCATTCCTACGAAAAGTTTTTTTCCCATATACAAATTAATGGAAAACCTTGAGCGCTTTGAGCGCCCTCTAAATATTTCTTGATTTCAAAATAAAAAAGGGTATACTTTTTTCGATATAGAACCATCCTAGGGGACCACCCTAAGATACATACTACATACATATGTACATGCCCTGCAGCAAAATTTAGGGACAGTCTGGCAAAGCGCTAGTTCCGCCCTACAAATTTCAGAACTGTCTCTGAACTACTGCAAAAGGGATGCAGAGCTGGACGGTTCAAACGCATGTGCTGCTTGTTGCGTTGTCATCAATAGGTTTGTTTTTTACATTTTCGGGCTAGTTTCGGGCAAATGGGCATAAGTACGGAATGCTCTCACAAAAGTACATAAACCGTCCAAAACCACGGGAACACAAAAACCCACTTTCATGCGCGAAACTAAACGCCAAATCGCAAAAAATTACAAGTTTAAGATTTGAGCAGCAGCGAACACAATAACTTTAATTTAATAGTTCACTTAATGTTTTCTCAATTATGAATCAAAGAAAAACAGTTAAATATATATGCACATATTTATTGGTTAAAATTTGAATGTTTTAAATTCTTACTCCGGCAGTTTTCACAAACTCGCCCGGAAAAATAGTCCGACTTCGGGCTAGTGAGAGGCAAAAATTACTCTCTCAAAGTGGTTCTCAACAGCCCGAGAACCAACCAAAGAGACACAAATTGGGCACTTTCGGGCACCCGCGGGCGAGCAAAAGAACGGACTAAATGTTATAGCGCTTTCACATCATGATGCAATAATGGCTTTGTTTCTTTTCTTTTCCAGCAGATAATTATCAGGAAGAAGAAGAATGAGAAAATTTAAAGAGTTTAGCTCACAGAGAGCGAAATTACGAAAAAGTAAAGAAACGCAAAACTAGCAGAAACTAGCAAGTAATCAGCTGATCGGTGTATTTGACTATTGAAAATATTTGGCGCGAATTTTTGTTTATCCATTTTGACAGCTGCTAGTTTCTGCTAGTAAAAATTTTACTAGCAGAAATTAGCAGGAGAGCCAAAAAAAGAAGAGCGTAAGAACGAGAGAGAGCTGCTAGTTTCTGCTATTTTTTTAGGTTAAGAAACGCTTTCCAGCAGAAATTAGTGATAATTTGTGATAATTATCTGTTAAGAAACAAAGCTAATACAAGGTGGTATCAGTTGTGACAGCTCGATTTGACACTGCCTTAGCTCAGTAGAATAAGAAGAAAAACGGGAAGAAATTAATCCCCGTTTGGGGGAAAAATATAGAATTTCGTATTTTCTTCTAAACAAAATTTGCTTTTTTATAGTATATTGGTCATGAAAAAAAATAAAATAAGATAAAATACTTTTTTAAGAAAACAAAATGTGTATACTGAGAAACAATAAAAAATATTCAACTATATTATTAGGCATAGAATTGTTAAAGAAGTAACACTGCTCACCGACCACATGTATTTCAATTGGCACTTTCCCATAAATGTCGCATACATGAAATCGGAGTGGATACATTAAAACGCCAAGACTGAAATTAAATTTATAAACAGGCACTCATATTTTAACATTTAATTTAACTTGTGAATGAATTCGAATTTTCAAATTTAAATATTTTTAAATCCCTTTTGCCTGGCACTGTGATACATATTGCAATTAACTGATGAATTAAGTTTAATATGAGTTTTTTAACACGTGGCAACTCTCATAAAGACAGTTCAGAAATAAATCCTTCTTAAATTCATTTCTATACTGTATACTGTCTTTCCGATAAAAAAAATAATTATCGAAATCGGTTCCCGGTTTAACTTTTTTCCAAAAACCTTCAGTTCCACTTTTCCGATCGCCAAGATTAAAACCCTTCTAATTCCTTATTACACTGTTACATAATGTTTTGCAGTCCTATTATAAGCTTAAGAGTTATTTGCACATTTTTGGAGAAATCGATCGCAATTTCAAGTCCCATCGTGATTCTACTGTTAACTTCACCTCAGGGAACAAAGGTTTTCTCTTTGTTTCCTTACTATATTACAGCTTAATAAACATCAAAGAAAATAAACCCAAGTCCTTTTCAAATCCATTTGAAATTAGAAAAGTTATAGCAATTTTATTAACGTATCGATATTACAGTGGAGTTGAATATTATTAAATGTGCAGCTGCACAAAATTATCGAAAATCGGCTTTCTCCAGCAACAGCTGTTTGCGCACATGTCTAGTAAAGCGTGCAGATAATTGAAAGCGAAAACAAGTGAAAAGTGATTAAACTTAATAATATTTTTAATAAAATGAGTAAGCGGAATATCAGAAGATTAATTAAAAGGCAGACCGACGTTTATATCGAAACGTTAAGTGCTGGTGAAGGTAGTGGGAATGTAACAGAATCTGTGGAAGAGCCAAGTGCGCAGTCAGCAATAGATGCGCAACCATTAGCTGAGGAGCTTGCGGAAGTAGGTGCAAATATATATAAAGAGAACAATTTGCGATCAAAATTAAAAGAGTGGTACATTAACAATAGACCATCGCGTAAGTGTTGCGATGATTTATTAAAAATATTAAAAAGTGAAAATTTAGATGTGCCTCAAAGCGCTGAGGGCCTTCTTGCAAGCTGCAGGCAACGTGCTTTAATTGAGATAGTTCCTCCCGGTCATTACTGTCACATAGGGGTCAAAAAACTGTTGGAACAGTTGGCTAGAGCTAGAGATATACGCGAGTCAATCCTTCTGGATGTAAATATTGACGGCTTACCCCCCTACACAGAAGTTCGCGTACACAGATTTGGCCAATTTTGCTTAGGATTGTTAATTTGGAAAATACTCCTATTTTACCTGTAGGAATTTACTTGGGCGCTAAGAAACCTGACTGTGTTGAAAGTTTTTTGTCTGCCTTTGTAGCCATCAGATGAAGAACAAATATTCAGCGTTAATGATATAGATGTTAAGTTGTTGGGTCTGCCACACGATGGCCGCTTACTCATGCTTCCAATCTTACATGGTTGTTGTTGAGTATTCAAGTATTTAACACCACTTTTCGCAGATTCGTTTTTTTAATAACAGAAATATATACAAAAGGATAAAATCGCAATGTCGTTTAAGAGGTTAAAAGTTCGTAGCGATCTGCTTCCGCAAGGTAAGTATTTTCAAAAATAAATGCATTTGAAACCCAATTAACATTTTTTTTTTATGTTATATTTACTACAGCTACCAATCCCACAAGTGAGTGCACCAGATGCGTTAATTTTCAAGAACAATTTAATGAAATTAAAGGTATGTATATACTCAAAAAAAATATATATATATATATATATACACTCCTCGTCATTTGACCCTTTTATTCCTTAGTATTTTCAGTTTTCCGTTTGTTTATTTATTATTCATTAATTTTTAAATGAATTAATTAAATAAAAATATAGCAAAATTTTCTAAAATCAACGCTATTTACGATCGCTTTAAACTGGCACTTTATTATACCAGAATAGAATGGGGTACTAACCTGCATACCGAATACTTTTTTTTAATATTATCAAGTTAACCACTGCAGATCATTAGTTTAGCGCACCCCTTTGTTGACATTCCTTGACATTTTTTAAATTCGTATAAAATTTTAAAATCGGATTTGCAGAATATTTTTAAACAAACCCTCAATATGACCAAAGTACAGTACAATTAACTCTATTGTAATTACAACAAATACTTTTAAATACTTGTTTCGGCAATAACAACAATTAACAATACTTGTTAAGACAACTACAATACTTTGCAAAACTCGCTAACACAATCGATCTCTGTTTTACAACTGCACTTTTTGGTGCGCTGTGGCAGCGGCCTTATATACTTGCACTCGAACTCATGGCAACTCTAGAACGTTGTGCCATCTATCGCACATTCTTTAATACTCTCGCTGTTCGCTGTATTCCACTTTACATTTCTTGCTGTCGAATATTCTACGCCTTTCGTCGGACATTTTCTTGTTGTTCGCTTCGCGTTGCCGCAGTATTCGCCACATTATGCTATATTTTTATAAAAAAAAGTAAATATTGCATAAACAAACGGAAATACTAAGGACTAAAAGGGTCAAATAAGGTCAAATGACGAGGAGTGTACGTAGGTATTTTTATTTGTTTGCATATCTATTTACTTCAGTATTTATATATTTATATATCTATCATTTTGTATATTTATTGACTCTTTATATTTCTCTTCAGAACGCGAAGAAAACTTGAAATTATCTATGTTAGACAAGTTGGAGCAAATCGAAAGTAATATGCATACATACCTGTGGAGAAAAACAAAATTACATTATTTTTCATTTTAGAAAACCACCTTTTACAAAACAAAGCTCTTATGACAGTTTTGGCAGAACATAAAATTTTAATCAGCAAGCTAATTCGCCAGGAATCTCTTGCTGCGCCCATTGGCGACCTCTTTCCAATTTGTACCGATGAAGCTTTAGCCGCCGTAGATGAAAAAATATTTCAGGACAACCGAGACATTTACGTAAGCATTGAATCTTACTAATGGTGTTTTCTTTTCTAGAGAAAATGGTGCCTTTTTACTGTCCTCTCCTAAGTATTTGTGCAAAATGTTTCGGTAGAAAAGAAAACAATTTTTTGAAGTTTGATTAATTTTGTTGCAATTTGTGCAAGCTTTGCAACTTTTGTTATTGTGGTTTCTGTTATAGATTGAATTATATTTTAAATGAAAATTATTAAAAATAAACAAATAAACATAATTTGCAAGCAATATGGTTTTGAATTTCGTTGCTAATTAGTTGAACGCATCTGTATGTAGATCGACCCATAATTTAAATGAAAATTATTAACAATAAATATATAAAGACAAGTTGCCAATGCATTGTTTTGAATTTTGCTGTTATTATTTTGACCGCAACTACTTACGTGAAGTATTCTATTGACGTGAAAAACTAATTTTAGTTACTTAACCAAAATATATTTTTTTAAGTAAAAGCCATATGAGTCCAGGTAAATTCAATCAAAACGTTTGCAATTCAGTTGAAATTTTGAAGAATTTTTGAGTAGAGTTTGAAAACGAAGTACAGACACTTTATGTTCCTATTTTTAAAGCACAGTTTGTATTAAGAAGTAAACTAGTGCAAACTAAATAGCTTTTTACAAATAAAATGAAGTATTATTTATTTACAAAATGGTATGCGTGCTTATTTAATTACAGTATTTAAA